CGTATTATGCATTTAATGAAAGCACCCTACGATACAAATTTATAAATATTAATGAAAATAATTTTCTAAATTATATAAAATTGAAATAACAAAGGTAAATATTACCTGTTCATCGTGAAAATGCGTTACAGCTCCGTTCGTGATTTCAATAATGCGGACTGCTCTCAGACGCAAAAAAGGTTTGTTATAAATATTAATTAAAATAATTTTCTAAATTATATAAAATTGAAATAACAAAGGTAAATATTACCTGTTCATCATGAAAATGCGTTACAGCTCTCCCGTTCGTGATGGGTTTGAATAATGCGGACTGCTCGTGATGGGTTTCAATAATGCGGACTGCTCTCAGACGCAAAAAGGTTTGTTATAAATATTAATTAAAATAATATTCTAAATTATATAAAATTGAAATAACAAAGGTAAATATTACCTGTTCATCATGAAAATGCATTACAGCTCTTCCGTTCGTGATGGGTTTCAATAATGCGGACTGCTCTCGTGATGGGTTTCAATAATGCGGACCGCTCTCAGATGCAAAAAAGGTTTGTTATAAATATTAATTAAAATAATTTTATAAATTATATAAAATTGAAATAACAAAGGTAAATATTACCTGTTCATCATGAAAATGCGTTACAATTCTCCTGTTCGTAATGGTTTCAATAATGCTTTGTTATAAATATTAATTAAAATAATTTTCTAAATTATATAATATTGAAATAACAAAGGTAAATATTACCTGTTCATCGTGAAAATGCGTTACAGCTCTCCCGTTCGTGATGGGTTTCAATAATGCGGACTGCTCTCAGACACAAAAAAGGTTTGTTATAAATATTAATTAAAATAATTTTCTAAATTATATAAAATTGAAATAACAAAGGTAAATATTATCTGTTCATCATGAAAATGCGTTACAGCTCTCCCATTCGTGATGGGTTTGAATAATGCGGACTGCTCTCAGACGCAAAAAAAAAGGTTTGTTATAAATATTAATTAAAATAATTTTCTAAATTATATAAAATTGAAATAACAAAGGTAAATATTACCTGTTCATCATGAAAATGCATTACAGCTCTCCCGTTCGTGATGGGTTTCAATAATGCCGACTGCTCTCCCGTTCGTGATGGGTTTCAATAATGCGGACTGCTATCAGACGCAAAAAAGGTTTGTTATAAATATTAATTAAAATAATTTTCTAAATTATATAAAATTGAAATAACAAAGGTAAATATTACCTGTTCATCATGAAAATGCGTTATAGCTCCCCCGTTGGTGATGGGTTTCAATAATGCGGACTGCTCTCAGACGCAAAAAAAAAAAGGTTTGTTTCTTTTGTTAATGTACCCCAGTTTGGAAGCATTATATATCAAGTGTACCCTAGCCTGGAAGCATTATATTGTATATGCGATGAAAAATTATTCTCTGTATTTTTTTTTTCTCTGAACTCGTGAATGATGAGTTGTAATGGTGGTAGTGAATATCCTTTTATACAATTTTTTATTAACAAAAGTGATAAGATAATTATGGATTGTATTTGGATAGATATTAAATTCCATGATTTTTGGGATGCAACAACAAAATATGCAATCACATGTATATATCTTATCACGTTAAAGGTATATCCATCCCCAAAAAAAGGGAAATATATAATGCCTTAATTGACGGAATTTGTGTATTTTCGTAGCAGATTTGCTTAATTAATGGGATCTGATACTTAATTAACGGGAATACCAATTACAAAATCCTATTCACGATTTTTTTTTCAAAATTTGATTGAGATTACATAAATAGAAAGTCAAAAGTCAACTCAATTTATTTTAAATTTCTAAAAATGATTTTTACATCAACGTTTTTAGATATATATAGATATTAGGCAGCCGAACTGTAAGAGTATGTTTTGGTTCAACGGGGAGAAAAGAAGGGGAGCGATTTTAATAGAAGGGAAAGAAGGGAAGGGAAGATAACATAAAATAATTTTACATTGTTTGGAAGGATTTTATTACATAGGAGTGGAGAAAAATTGTAAACCTTGTTTGGTAAAAAAATAAAAGAAGAGAAAAAATAATGTTATAATGATAAATATATCATTAATGATGTAGAAATAAAAATTAAATATTATATATAATAAGAATAATATAGTAATTGTATAACTTAAAATTTTCCCTCCTATCTAATTTTCCTCATTTTTGGATGGGAACAAAAATGATGAGGGGAGGAAATTTTAAAGGAAAATTTCAAAATTAGTCCCACAACTTTCGGGTTTTCCACTTTTAGTCCCAATGGAATGTTGTTTCCCAAAACTTGTCCACTAACTTTTTAAAATCGATCAAAAGCAGGACAATTGTGAGCCCAGATGCCTTTTTCGGCCCGGAGCTGCCGACGTGTCTTCAAAATATCACACCTGGCCGATCACGCGACGGCGTAGCCGATGACATGGCCACTAAATCCACCGTGGCAGATGACGAGGCACAGAGGGGCGGAAAACACAATAAAATTTGGGGAAATGTCCCAAAATTGAATCGATCTCTTAATTTCATTTTTTCTTCTCGCGTGAACAATAGAACCCTAGTTCCCGAATTCATCTCTCAATTTCGCACACGCTGAAAATCTGGCAAAGAAGATAATACACGGTAACAATCCATTGAAGAAGGACCTGTTGAAGGCTTTCAGAAATGGGTTTCATGAGACAAAAAATGCACATTAATTTGCCTCCTCCGATGTATCGTGAGTTTTTTCTTTTCTTTTACTGTTTTATAGTAAAATCGAATCTTGGCACGTGATATGGTCTGTATTTGGAAGTAAATGGGGTGTGGTGTTTTTGTCATGTTGTGTTTGAATGAAATATATTTAATGGTCACATGTTTGTGAAAGTTTAGACATGTTTATTTCTTTATTGTTGTGTCTGTTTGTACTTACTCATTTTTTTATTTTTTTGTGTTTTGTTTATAATATTTCAGATCCTGATTCAGATAGTTTCTCTTTAGTTGTGCATTGGGGTGGGAAGTTTATTAATGCTCCTATAGCAAAATATGAGGGGGCCAGAGGTTTATATGTGATTATACTTCCTAAGGTGAAATGAAGTTTGTATTTTTCAATAAGTGGTGTGAACAGGCAGGTGTTGTTGGGGGTAAGAGGTATTACATTTATGATGAAGACGGGTTTAAGTTATTGGCTAGTGAAGATGACCTGCAAACTTGTGCACTTCAAGCTGTTAAAAGCAGAGAGTTGATTATATATGGTGATGTGGAAGTTGAAACTCCTGTTGTACCGAATCTTAATCCACAAAATAAAAACTTAGGCAGTGTGTGGGTACCAGTTGAGGATGCCTACAAAACAGTTAGGAAATTTGTGGGGGTTAGTGACTGTGAGTCTGACTCTAATTCATTACATGATTCTGACTATAACATGAGTAATGAAGTTAGTGAAGATGATGAAATATGGTCAGAATATGTTGATGAGAGTAATGTAGATGTGAGTAATGTTGATGATGTGGTCCATGGTAGTAATGTTGATGTGTCTGAGAGTAATATTCATGTGCAAAAAGGAAGTGTGGATGTGAGTAATATAGATGCTGCAGATAGTGTTTCTGAGGATGATGATGTAGTCCATGAAGTGCTTCATTTTGATGAGAGAAGAGTGTCTGATGATGAATGTGAGTCTAATGATCCTGTGTTCAACCCTGCCATGATTTTTAAACCAACATTTGAGTTAGGCATGGTGTTTGCTACTAAAGCAGAATTCAAAAAGGCAGTACAATCTCATGCTATTAGAAGTAAAAGAAGCACACACTTTACAAAAAATGACAGCAGAAGAGTGTATGCACAGTGTAAAGCTGAGGGATGCAAGTGGAGAATGAATGCACTGAAGAAAACAGATGAAGCATCTTACAAGCTTTCAACCTATGTACCTACCCATACTTGTCCTCCTGAATTTAATGTGAAGAATGTGAAAAGTAAATGGCTTAGTGAAAAGTACATTGGGAATTTTGAGGTTGATCCAAAGAGAAGCACAAAAGGGTGGAGGGCAGAGGTGATAAAAAAACTGGGGGTAGATGTCTCTAAACAACAGGCATACAGGGCAAAGAAGAGAGCACTTGCAGTGATAGAGGGTGATCCATCTGTGCAATACACTAAGCTATGGGATTATGCAGAAGAGGTTAGGCAAACAAACCCTGGAAGCACAATGATCTTAGACACTGAGTCTGAAAATGGAGAACTTAGGTTTAGCAAATTCTATTGTTGTTTTGCTGCTTTGAAAGAAGGTTTCAAGGGGGGTTGCAGGCCTATAATTGGGGTAGATGGGTGTCACTTGAAGGGTCCTCATGGGGGTATTTTGTTAACTGCAGTAGGAGTTGACCCCAACAACAATCTTTACCCCATAGCATATGCCATAGTGAGAGGGGAAACAAGGGAGACTTGGTCATGGTTTCTAACTGTACTAAGGTCAGACCTTGAGATTGAAAAAGAAGAGGAGATGACATTCATGAGTGACAAACAGAAGGGCCTTATTCAAGCTTTTAAAGAAGTTTTCCCATCCAGCCCCCATAGATTCTGTGTTAGACACCTCCACAACAATTTCAAAAATGCTGGTTTCAGGGGTCTTAGTTTTAAGACTGCCCTATGGAGGGCAGCTCAAGCAACAACAGAAGGGGAATTCAAATTGAGGATGATGGAAATGAAAGAATTAAGTCCAGCTGCCTGAAAATGGTTCCATGATAAACCACCCTCTGAGTGGTCTAAGTCACATTTCTCTGAATTTCCTAAATCTGATATGGTGCTTAACAATGTTTGTGAGTCTTTCAATTCAAACATTTTGGATGCAAGAGAGAAACCTATAATCACTATGCTAGAATGGATAAGAGAGTATTTGATGAGGAGGTTACAACAAAACAGGGACAAGGCAGCTGCAAAGTGGCAAGGCAGGTTGTGCCCCAAAATTCAAAAGATTTATGAAAAGCATTTGGAGATGGTGTCTGACTGCATTCCCATAAAGGCAGATGACAACAACTACCAAATCACATGCTCTGGTGGAGATCAGTATTCTGTAGCTCTTGACAAGATGAAATGCAGTTGTAGAGCATGGGGATTGAGTGGTATACCATGTCCACATGCCTTGAGAGCCATTCTCCACCAAAAAAAGGGATCCAGTGGACTATGTAGACCATTGCTACTCAGTTGAGGTTTACAAAAAGGTTTATGGACCAGCCATAATGCCTTTGAGTGGTGAATGTTTATGGGGGAAAAGTATGTACATCCCTCCTTTGCCACCAAATTTTGGTAGAGGCAGAGGCAGACCAAGTTCTCTTAGAAGGAGAGAACCTGATGAGGCAGACCCTAAAAGAAAGAAATCATCAAATGGTCCCCACAGACTGAAGAGGCAACAAAGCACAGTGAAATGTAGGAAGTGCCATGAACCAGGTCATAATGCATTGACTTGTAAAAATCCAGCCATGAAAAAGGTAAGTTAATGTTTTCATTATTTTTAATATTATATGTTTGTTAGGTGTTTGTCTATATAACACTGTTATCATGTGTATATACAGGGTAAGAAGGAAAAACAAACTGAAGGTCAAACCCATTCCAATGAAGCACCATTTGGTAATCCACAACCTCAATTTAGGGAGAAACTAAAGGTAATATAATCTCTCCATTTTCTTTTTAGTTTGTACTTGCACTTATACAATGTGCACTTTTAAATGTGTTTATGTAGGTCACCAAAGGAAAAGGAAGTGGGAATCAAACTCATACAAATGCAAATCCTACAGTCCTACCTCCCAATCCAGATGATGTGATGTTTAGTCAAATTTCTGATGAAGATTTGGTTGCAGGCATTGAAAGCCAGACTGATAGCACAATGTATCAGCACATGCAGTCCCATAAGCCAGGCCCAACTTCATTTCAACAGTTGAAGATGTCCTCAGTTTCAGCCCCAAACCCCCTTCAAACAAGGATCAACATTAGAGCACCCCCACCAATAATAGGTGGATATACACTGCCAGTATTCAGTTCACAACCAACCAACTCAAAGTCTATTGTTATTGATGGTGGCCAAAAGTTCATGGACCTTTCTCAAAATTCAGTTTGTCTGCAGAAAAGAAAGAAAAAGAAGCAGTGACAACATGGTCTGATGTGTTTGTTGTGTTTGATGTTTTAGAAGTACTTTTCGTCTGATTAGGTTGTTTTGTAAGTGTTGGAAGTGTTTGCTGTACTGTGGAAGTGTTGGACAATAACATCTCTTTTGAAGTGTTTGTTGTTTTGAAACTGTATTTGGGAGTGTTTGATGTCTCCCTTATTTTTGTGACTAGAAGTTTCAGTTGTTTTGATGATAAATATGGGGCATGTTTGCTGTCTAGAAGTGTGATTAAACAGCTTTTGTAATGACACTTTAGTTTATATATATAATTCAGTTTATGTTTTGCTGATAAGCAGTTTATTTATGTTGTAGACATTGTACTTTTTATGTTTAAAACTCTTAACAAACAATACCAATAAAAGTGTATGAAATAAAGAAGAACATAATTCATGAATAATACATAGTCAAACATTCATTACATAAGCTGCAAATTGAATACACAACATTAGTACATAGTCTAACATTCAGTGAAGCATAGTTCAGTTTTCAAAAGGAACACAACAACAACATTCATCCATACAAGATAGTTCAGTTTTCAAAAGGAACAAAACAACAACAACATTCATCCATACAGTTCCCAAAATGATGAGATTTGATGACAATCACCCTACCACTTCAGTTCTTCAGAATCACCCTTACACTTCACTTCTTCAAAATGATGAGAATTGACACAACCAAAAGAACCAACACAATATAATTTTCTTTAACTTTCTGTTCATTACAGCCAAACCTAGTGTCTCTGTCTTCAGCTTCAAAATCTCTTCTTCACTTGCATTCATCTTCTTCAAAAGTCCAGGAATTAATGCTTTAGCCCTACGACACATTGGGGGGTCATTCCAGTCAAAGAAAACACAACCTCCTTCTTCCTGCAATGTTTCATTTTAAAATTCCAAAAAAAAAAAGAAAAAAAAAATCAGAAACTGAGGAATCTGAATAATCATTCGTTTAAGGGAAAAAAAAAAAACAGAACGTACCTCGTTCTTCAAGCAAGCCTGGAAGCGCCGACCAGGGTTCTCGGTCGTCCATGAGGTCCGTATCACAGCCCTACGACCACAATAGCAATCAACACTTCCCATCACAAAAGACATATTGTACGTATGAGATTTATCTCGCCAAGAACAGATTTTCAGCGTGTTCGAAAGCTGTGACACGAATTCAAGAACTAGGGTTCACGGCGAGAAGAAAAAATGAAATGAGTGATAGATTCAATTTTGGGACATTTCTCCAAATTTTATTGTGTTTTCCGCCCCTCTGTGCCTCGTCATCTGCCACGGTGTATTTAGTGGCCATGTCATCGGCTACGCCGTCGCGTGATCGGCCAGGTGTGATATTTCGAAGACACGTCGGCAGCTCCGGGCCGGAAAAGGCATCTGGGCCCACAATTGTCCTGCTTTTGATCGATTTTAAAAAGTTAGTGGACAAGTTTTGGGAAACACCATTCCATTGGGACTAAAAGTGGAAAACCCGATAGTTGTGGGACTAATTTTGAAATTTTTTCAAATTTTAACATAAAATTTTCCCTCCCCTCCTATCCAAACTTCCCAACCAAACAAGAAAAATATAAGAAAACCTCTCCACTCTCCTCCTCTCCTCTTCCCCCAACCAAACACTACCTAAAGAAAATTAGGGCAAAATATCTCATATCTATTACTATACAATATGGAGAAGGAAAAATGTTTGAATAAATATTTCATTTCCCGCTTAAGCATCATTTTTTCCCCCTTAAATTTAATTTGAATTGTTTTCGTCCAAATTTGAATTGTTTTATTTTAGGATAAGATTTGGTTGTTTTTTTGTTAAATTTGTTATAATTCCTTTTCTTTAGGATGAGATGAGATGAGATTTGTTACCATTTTTTTAAAATCCGATTTGGTACATTTTTAATTCACTCGCTTTTCCTTTTTTTTTTTTCACGTTTTATTTCACTCGATTTTCCTTTTTTTTTTGATGGGTTGAGATTTGGTAAATTTTGTATTTTTAATTTTTTTAATTTTAATTCACGTTTTTAATTTTAATTTCACGTTTTGAATTTTTTCCTTTTAATTTTTTTTAATCCGATTTTTTTTTTCATTTCAAAATTAATTTTAAACAATTCCACTTAATGTAGATTCTTAACAATATGGTCCATACATATCTGATTTTTTTCCTTATTTAAAAAAAAAATCAAAATTAATTTTAAACAGGTCCACTTAATGTGGATTCTTAACAATATGGCCCATACATATCCGATTTTTTTCCTTATTTAAATAAAATAATTCAAAATTAATTTTGATATATTTTTAAGAGACTCGATTATTTTTATAACATATCCGATTTTTTTCCTTATTTAAATAAATCTATTCCAAAATTAATATTGATATGTTTTAAAAATACTCCATTATCTTAATAACATCTCCAACATTTTTTACTTATTTAAAATAAAATAATTCAGAACTAATCAAATTTTGAAGAGTTTTAAAAAGACTCCATTTATCTTAATAACATATCCGATTGTTTTTCCTTATTTAAATAAAATAATTCAAAATTAATTTTGATATGTTTTAAAATTATTTGATTTTCGTCTAAAATTTTTTAAAATACTATTTTTATTTTTTTATTTTTTGTAAAAAAATGGATGAAAAAGTCAAATTCAAATTAAAAAAAATGCTATTTTGAAAAAGATATTTTGTAAATCTTAAAAATATGGTCAACGATATCTTAAATACAACGGGTAAATATGGTCAATGATATCATAAATTATTTTTTATAGTCAGATAGTTCAACTTAATTGATGATTTTTTTTTCAAAAAATATGACGATCATATAATTTATCATATATCATATGTTTATATTGGATGTTATTAGTTTGGTTGATGACATTCATTATATTCAAATAAATAATATGTAATTTTTTTTATTTGGTTTTTCTTTTCTTACAATAATGAGATGTCAAACATAAATAACTATGTTTAATATAAAGTCTTAGAAAAGGTTTTAAGTAAAAAGCTTGTCCGTGCATCGCACGGGATACACACTAGTTTTCACCAACATATTCAACTTCTCTGATTTTCGTTAATCAAAACGGAAACTTTCCAGCCACATGAGACCATCTTCCTTTTCATTGAAATGTGTCTCCCCAAATCCAATGTTTATCTCGTCAAATTTGGCCTGGAGAGCGTCGTCGACCGACAACCGCAGCGACCCGTCCTTCAGCAAGAACCATCACACAGACTCTTCCGATCAGCAGCCTGACGTCCGTTTAGCCTGTAGGTCACCTCGCGACAGCAGCCGCCAGCGCACAACAATTACCGCCGTCAAGCCCATAGATCGCCATCGGATTCATCAACCTCTGAGATGGTTGGTGCTTTTTTGTCTTGTGAGTGACCAACACCTGCAACTATAGAACTTACGCATGCAAAATTTGGAAAAGAAGATTTTGGGGAAAATAGCAACAGGTAATGTTTCTGGTTTTTGCTCCGTCTTTTGAATTCTCCATATGGATTTACTTTCAAACTCAGATTTTGCATTTCGGCTATATTTGGATGCTGGTTTTAGGTTCAGATTATAAAGATGTTTAATTAACTTAATTTGAGAGATTTATGTATGACTACGAAATCTAGATCTTGATAATCCATTTGAACTATCATATCTGCCAAATTAGAGGAGGTGGATCTCCAAATATATATATATATATATATATATATGTATATATTTTGACATACCAGCTTCAGATTTGTATATATTACAACATAACAGTTTGCATTGTATCTTCTTTCTTAGTATCTTTTTGGTTTAGCGAGTTATTTTTTTAGTTTATGGTTGTTGTGAACTAGAAGCAAGACTCATGTTAAACTTATCTTTTTAAGGATACTCTAGATTTTTTTTTATTTTTTATTTTTTTTTTGTTGGTGATCTCAATAACACTAGATAGGGCTAACTAAGACTGATAATTACTGTTACTCTTATTTTTGTAACACTTGATTGACTGAAGACTAGCGCGTAGCCCGTGCAATGCACGGGATGGTATATTTTCCTGAAATGTTTAACGTGTGAAATATTAAAAATAATATAATTTATATATATGTAACAAAAATAAATGGATTGCAAAGAAGGAAAAAAAATATAAATTATTGAACAATTTCTTTGTGAAGTAAAATTTGTGAAGCTTTGATATATTTGATTATGAATAGAAAATTATGAAATACTACCTGCGGACCGTTGAGATAGATGAGAAGATTTACTTAGAATATATAGAATAAATATTGAGATAATGATTTACCTTTTACCTAGTATATATAAAATAAATATTGACATGATGTGGGAAAATTATGACGAATTATGACATAAATACGTTTAGAAGTTAGTAGAAAATATTCAAAAATTAGATTTATTTTTTATTTTTTAAATCCTTACAGTAATTCGTACGCTCCTTTTCATACGCTTAATTTATCAATTTTACACATACAAATCAAAATTAATGCAACTCGAAATATTATATAACAAATAAAATGAGATTTTTTATCTAACATTTAGTATATTGCCGGAAAATCTTTTATAAATCTTATTCTCTTTTTATGCACATAGATAATAAAGAATGAGTAAAAAAATTATCTAAATATGTTTAAAAGTATCTAATATTATATGTGTTAACAATGTTACAACCAAAAGACATTAAAAATACGTGGACTATTATATAACATATGTAAAAGTATTAAAATATTTTATATTATTATTGAAAAATGTGAAATTACCTCAATTTTGTCTAGACTATTTTATAAGAAAAATATATATACTTAAAGTTAGCATACACACACATATATATCCTTAAAATTTGCCCAACTAACATGTTTAAAAGTATATACAATTTTATATATAAAAATACGTTTAAAGTTTACATATTTTACAAAAATTAGATTGCTCTCAGTTTATATAAAGTTTGTTGCTCTCATATTCGGATAACGTATTATGCATATAATGAAAGCACCCTACGATACAAATTTATAAATATTAATTAAAATAATTTTCTAAATTATATAAAATTGAAATAACAAAGGTAAATATTACCTGTTCATCATGAAAATGCGTTACAGCTCTCCCGTTCGTGATGGGTTTCAATAATGCGGACGGGACGCAAAAAAGGTTTGTTTCTTTTATTAACGGAATTAAGTGTACCCCAGCCTGGAAGCATTATATTGTATATGCGATGAAAAATTATTCTCTGTATTTTTTTTTCTCTGAACTTGTGAATGATGAGTTGTAATGGTGGTAGTGAATATCCTTTTATACAATTTTTTATTAACCAAAAGTGATAAGATAATTATGGATTGTATTTGGATAGATAATAAGTCCCATGATTTTTGGAATGGACAATCAATTTCACATATTTTTTATTAACCAAAAGTGATAAGATAATTATGGATTGTATTTACCTTTTACCTAGTATATATAAAATAAATATAAAATAAATATTGACATGATGTGGGAAAATTATGACGAATTATGACATAAATTCGTTTAGAAGTTAGTAGAAAATATTCAAAAATTAGAATTATTTTTTATTTTTTAAATCCATACAGTAATTCGTACGCTCCTTTTCATGCACTTAATTTATCAATTTTACACATACAAATCAAAATTAATGCAACTCGAAATATTACATAACAAATAAAATGAGATTTTTTATCTAACATTTAGTATATTGCCGGAAAATCTTTTATAAATCTTATTCTCTTTTTATGCACATAGATATTAAAGAATGAGTAAAAAAATTATCTAAATATGTTTAAAAGTATCTAATATTATATGTGTTAACAATGTTACAACCAAAAGACATTAAGAATACGTAGACTATTATATAACATATGTGAAAGTATTAAAATATTTTATATTATTATTGAAAAATGTGAAATTAACTCAATTTTGTCTAGACTATTTTATAAGAAAAATATATATACTTAAAGTTAGCATACACACACACATATATATCCTTAAAATTTGCCCAACTAACATGTTTAAAAGTATATACAATTTTATATATAAAAACACGTTTAAAGTTTACATATTTTACAAAAATTAGATTGTTCTCAGTTTATATAAAGTTTGTTGCTCTCATATTCGGATAACGTATTATGCATATAATGAAAGCACCCTACGATACAAATTTATAAATATTAATAAAAATAATTTTCTAAATTATATAAAATTGAAATAAGAAAGGTAAATATTACCTGTTCATCATGAAAATGCGTTACAGCTCTCCCGTTCGTGATGAGTTTCAATAATGCGGACTGCTCTCAGACGCAAAAAAAGGTTTGTTTCTTTTGTTAACGGAATCAAGTGTACCCCAGCCTGGAAGCATTATATTGTATATGCGATAAAAAAGTATTCTCTGTATTTTTTTTTTTTCTCTGAACTCGTGAATGATGAGTTGTAACGGTGGTAGTGAATATCCTTTTATACAATTTTTTATTAACCAAAAGTGATAAGATAATTATGGATTGTATTTGGATAGATAGTAAGTCCCATGATTTTTGCAACGGACAATCAATTTCACATATTTTTTATTAACCAAAAGTGATAAGATAATTATGGATTGTATTTGGATAGATAGTAAGTCCCATGATTTTTGCAACGGACAATCAATTTCACATGCTTAATTAACGGAAATATCACCATTATTAAGGAGAATATCCATTTGCTTAATTAAAGTAGAATACATAAATAGAAAGTCAAAAGTCAACTCAATTATTTTTAGGTTTCTAAAAAAGGATTTTTACATCAACCTTTTTAGATATATATAGACGAGAGAAAATGGCATCGGGAAGTTAAATGGGATGGCAAGGATATCTGTGGTTGCTACATGGTTCGGTTCTGCCTCACAATTGCTCTTCAACATAGGAAGTGACTTAGGTAACACTTCTTAATTTGGTATATGTCTTTCAAAGGTTGAGTGAACCAGTGAAAGATGATCAGTTTGTTTTATAATCTGAATAGTGTGTTTTCTGCCATGACCGTAGCATTTTGATATGCTTGGTGAAAGTTCATTCAAAGGTTTTACTTGTGTACATGTGCTTCTGGCACTAATATCCTCAACGAACTACTTTTATATCACTATTCTTAATATATTGTGTCCATGAGTATTGATTTTGGTTGGATTTCATTATTCTCATGTATTACTACGGGAATACAAACTGTTCATAACAAATCATAAAATATTCGATAGCATGTTAATTCAAAATTAGTCATCAAGACCTATTCGTAGTGTAATCATTCTCGTATTTCGATACTTGTATCGATGTTGATCCTTCAAGTAAGATATTAAAACTTTATTGTGAATTTATGGGAGATACTTACATCAGAGTTGATCATTCGGGTAGTATATCAAAACATTATTGTTAACTTATAGAATATCCTTCAGGGAGTGTGTAAAAAAAAATCCATTGTCAACTTACAAGCTATCGATACAGGTTCTCAAGACTAATCAACCAAAAGCCGATTGGGTCCCCAGATGTCGAGTCCGCCAGTCGCCGAGCCGAATAGAATTTAAAGTAATCGAATAGCACAGATATCGTAGAGAAGCCGCCTCCAAAAAATGCAATAATTGCTGACAAGATAGACATCAATCGAAGTCGTAAAAAGCCATGAGTGGGCCCCTTGATTATCACCTAGCATTAAATGATAGTGTACTATTTTCATTAATTTATTTTTCAATTGGCCCACATGTAAGGGCTCTATATATGTGGTCATGAGGAGAAGGGGGATATTCAGAGCATGTTTGTCTATGGGAATTTTTTGTTTTGTTTAGATTTTTGATTTGGTTTGATTAATTTTGAAAAAGGTGGTATGGTTAGGTGTTAGTGGATATATTAATATAATATTTAAAATAAAATAATTAAAATTGATTTGATGTAAAAGTATGAGAGAGATGATTTGAAGTGATAGTTAGTTAAAATAATGTGAGTGGCTAAATAGTGAATTAAGTGTTGACGGGCGTTTTCGATCAACGGTTAAAAAGATAAATAATTGAAAGGTAATGAGGGAAAAGACAAAGAAATACGATTTAATTATGATTTTATTGACTGATCACGAGGTCGGCCTCTCGTACGAGGTCGGTACTTGCGATATACTTGCGAATTCTTACACAAATTCCTTACAAGTTTAGAGAGAGAGAATGTAGACAGTGAAGACAGTTGGAGATTCAACAACCCCGAAATAAATGAAGTGGGCTGCTATTTATAGTGCCCTTAAATGTGGCACTGTTCGGACACTGTTCATGGGTCTTGTCGCACAGTGTTTTTGCAGAGCAGTCCGGTGCCTCCCTGACAGAATTTAATGCGATTTGAA